TGGGTATTCACTGGAGTCTGGGTTGGAACTGCTTTGGAGTTCTGTGGCTGGGGACCCAACGTCCTTGTTGTGGTCCCTTTCTTTATAAAAAACGATACTAGAGCTCCATTTGGCCAGATTTCTCTTTGCCATGCAGTTTTCAGTTGATCCTGCCCTATAGTCACCTTCATGGAAGCGTATATTTCTGGTTTTTTCGATAGATGAGTTTCACAGTTGACGCCGTCTAAGTGTGCTTTAAGAAAGTCTTTCAGCTCTTCTGGTTTAGTTGTTGGTTTGAGTCGTGTTACATGTAGGTATATCAGCTTAGGGACCGTCTCGACTCGACATGGTGTTTCTGTTTTGCCAACTAAGAATTTTCTTCTTCTTTTATGAACAACTTGGGACCATTCGGCATTAGGCGGTTCTAGGTTTTCAGCTTCTGAATTCTGATTTTGTTGAAGATTTCTCATTACCGTACGTGACTTGGCTTCTAAGACAGCCATGCTAACTTGCTGAGAGGATATGGGTTCATGGTTCTGGTTTCCTTCTTTGTTCTTAATTTGTACAATACTCGCATAACTTGGCAACGATTGTACCTGGTTCAGTGCCGACGTAGCTTTAGCCACTACCAGATTCTCTGTTTCCACTTCCACAAGGTCACCTTTATCATCTATCTTCTTTTGAACGCGTTGAACTGGGATGTTCTCGTTCTGCTTGTTTATATTCTCACTTTTTTCTAACTGTATGATTCTTTTCTGTAGTTCACGAATTATGAAATTCTTATGGCTGATTATTGTCTTGAGATATGTAATTTCCTTCAATACAGGGTTTTCATCCAGATTCGATAGATTGTCAGTGAATAGGTCATCTGGAGCATCACAACTTGTTGATTCTTGAGTTGCATCATCAGAGTTATCACAGCAGATCATCATTCCCCCATCCACAAATTTAACATTTTTTATTCTTTTGGCACAACTAGGATGTGCATTCATATCACAAATACTACATTTAATTCCACTCCTCACTATTTTATTACAATATACACAGACGTTACTCGGCACGTCCTTCTCACTCCCCGCCATCTTAAATAGTGTATATGCCCTAGTGACAAATAACGTGACAGAAGATTCTGGAATGTTCTGGAAACAATCGATGGAACAGTTAGATGGAGAGGTTTTGTTTTAAGAAGCTTCTAGAACAAAAAGAAGGAGACGGAAGATCATTCGAGAACGTTCTCGAACCGAAGCCTTCCAAGGGATCTCATATATAAACGGCCGAACAACTGCCGTCAGTCAGTCGAGCAGCGAGTGTCAGAGAGACAGTTATATACCGCGTGATATAAATCGTTTCACATGAATAGTAGTTATAAGTTCGATATAAATTAGTGTTTCTTTAATTCAAATAAATCAAATCGAAAATAAATAGTGTCGTGTTTGCTTCTGCACCCGAATAACGTAACAATACTGTATTTCCACAACGAGTAAGAGAAAAACATATTTGTTCACATTTATTAACCCATCTCGAGTCCTTCTACCCGCCATCGAGCTATGGCTGGTTAGTCCTGACTCACCCTATATACTTTCAAATATATGATACCATTTTTGGTTCCATTCCGAATCTATAACTTTCAATAATCGATGCACGAACTCGCAGTGAAGAAACCTATGATCTCAAAACGAATTCAACATATTTATGAATTTTCTTTCATTCTTCAGTTATTGGTGTTACCAGTACTTATTGAAGAACTGTTCTCAAAAAAATGTAATACCTTGGTAGCACTGTAACCCGCAACAATCTCTATGATCCAGGAGAAAACATAAAAATAAATTTATACGGTTCACTGAAACACCCTGTATTTTTACTCATCGAAACATATTATTTTCACTCTGCACCTATAGAGTTTCAACAGGATATCGAAATTATTCATTCTCGAGAAGTTTCATAATTTATTCATCAAGATGCTCACATCAAAGTTTTCAGAATATTTGCTAGGACTGATGATTAATATGCTACATACAAAAAGGTGCACTCTCAGACCAATCGACCTGTGTCTCACCCATGCTTTATTCTTAATTGGAATACCTGCCTACCCCTCTAACCGACCCTTACGATGATGAAAATGACCAAAAAGAGCCTTCGTTGACAGATGACACGTGACAGGTGACACGAGATGTGACAGATGGCAGATGTAACGTGACAGGTGATACGAGTCATCTGTCGTCAAATGCCTTTTTGGTCATTTTCATCACTGTAAGGGTAGGTTTCACCAGTGTTGCCAGGTGTGGCGTATTTGAGCCAACGTGACGCTTTAAAAATAGAAATAGCGTGATAATTTCAACTGAATGTGCCTGGCGCAAGAAGTGGTGCTTCGAAATTTGGACTCCCCATCAGCGTATCAGCATTGTAAAGCTCAATATAGCTCTTGTCTTTGAAATCATTTAGATTTGCGAAATAACAAACAACAATAATAGGTACGTATTTCTTCAGATTTTTCGGTATTTTTTCTCGTCTCTTTTTCAAATGCAGTAACATATTGGGGCAGTTCATCTGATTTGTCCTTGCTACACAAATATTGAAATATTGATGAAATATGGAGATAAAACTCAGGAGATGAAATCCGAAAAAATCTGGAATAATGAACGTTCCACCTCCTCGATTAACCTACAGACAGTATTTTTCAAGTTTTCAGTATTTTCAATAATTTGTTTGATATATCTTTAGTGAAAATTAATAAGAGATATTCTAGGTAACTCATGAATTCTCTCAAATGCTTACGAAATTGACATTTCGTATGCGATTTAGACTCGCGATTGGTTTATATATGAAACGACCTTTCTGTAGATTTACAACGAGAAATACGAAGATCTGGAATGCCCGTTATATTTTTATGTTGTATTCAATTAGTACTATTGCATAATTGTCAGTTTTTTATATTCAATCCTTTTGGATGATCTCAATCTTATTGGAGCCTTCAATAGTTTTTATTGTAACCAAAAGTTTTCATGTTCTACAGATTTGGCTCTTTCATTTTGTAATCGGAAGTTTGGTTGAAGTTCAATAGTTACTGATGCATAGATTAACGTAATCTATGGTATACTGTGTCAGCATATTTCCTCATCTCCTTCCTTCTCTGGCGCATTTTATTGTCAAATCAGACAACACTGGGTTTCACCCTCCCGAAGGGTAGGTTAGAGGGGTAATGTTAGGTTAGATGCCTGAACGGTGATGGAACATCCAAACTACCTTGGGTAAGGCAGGTATTTTTCTTGTGCTACAAATCTTGCTCTTCTATTTTGTAGCCGGAAGTTTGGTTGATTTTCAATAGTTACTGATGCATAGATTAACGTAAGCTATGGTACTGTGTCAGCATATTTCCTCATTTCCTTCCTTTCCTGGCGCATCATATTTTCAAATCATACAACACTGGGTTTCACCCTCCCGAAGGGTAGGTTAGAGGGTAAATGTTCGGTTGGATGCCTGAACGGTGTTGGAACATCCAAACTACCTTGGGTTAGGCAGGTATTTCAGTTAAGAATTGCAATGGTGAGATAGGGGTCGTTTGGTCTGAGAGTGCGGCAGGTGCACTGCATACATTCAATGTCTATAATTCCTAAACATGAGAATTAATCGTTTCCTATATTGTATGAATGATATGAACGTATTGAAATGGCTCAGGTAGGGGTGTACCATATTGGAAAACGGAAAAACTTCAACGGTCTGTAAGGATCATCGAGGTGGTTCTGAATATACCATATTTGTAGGTTCTTGAAACTCTAATGAATTCTGCTCAATTCTTTGTTAACTAGCGGAACACCCAGTATATTTATTTGAAATTCGAGACACAAGTTCTTCTACTCTATCGACACACGTATAATTCAGGAAAAAATGCAGGATGCAAGTCCGGTTCAATATATATTGATCATATTTTTGGGACCCGAGATGAACACTCTGTATGTAGAATTTCCTTAATTTGTTTACAAGTTTCGAAAGAGCCCAAATAGCTGAATTGGAGTGAGTGATTGTTCATATTCTCCTCAATATAGGTATCTCAGTTACTATCAGTCTTACAAAAACGTTCAAATGGGCAAATTTTGTTTTTTTTTTCCGAGAATCTAAAGACTCGTCTAAAGACTTTTAGTTACATCAGGGTTACAAATGCTGACGATGACTATTCAATACAATATCGAAGCAGTAATTTTGTTATGCGATTGAGAGAATTCAAAATATTCCATTTCTTTCTATGCAAATACATAAAACCTCAAATTCAAAATCAGTAATTTAGGTATCAGTGAAAGAACATACGGAAAAATAAAATGTACACAAATCCAATAAAAACCTCCTTTCCCTATCCTTCCTAGGTACGCACGATATTCTTCGAACATAAAATATAAAGATTCTCTTTCGTGCACTTCGAGCGATCAAAAATATATATTTTGAATTCGTGAGTGAATTCTGGAAATTTGAAAATACATGACGTTCTTCTTGGGCCTCCAGAAATATTACCAATTTTCGTTAATCCGAACCTGGAATTTGTCTTGACTAATAGGTGAGTCGCTCGGGTAGAACAAGGAGAACTTATGTACCAAATTCCAAAAAAGTAAAACAGGGTAGTTCGTGAGTTATATATGTATCACAACGAAATGAGCTTAATTGATAAAACAAATATGGTATATTTAGTACCACGCTGGTGACCTTTATCCACCGAAGAAAATTTTCTGTTCCTCAATTCGGTTTCTCAATAAGACACCCTGTTTGTGAAGCAACAATTTGCTGCTTCCCTGCGTAATCCTGAGATCATTTCACCAAACTATATTTACATCATGGAACATTTTTACCCACTACATCTCAAAAGTATTTAGGAGTTTTGAAATCCTCCAAAAAACAGATTTTTTGATCGGATGTCTGAAAACAGAGGCACTGTCACTCACAGTATTTAGATATTGATGAATGACACACTATACCAACCTATTTCGAACTCTATGAATATCACTGTATATACTTATATTGAAATTCCGTTCTAGGTTCACAATTGTGCAACTCTCTAGACCTCCGTAGCTTCATATCCGGCCATGGTCTTCACGGTACTATTACGTTCACAGAAACGAAATACTCCATCAGAATCACCACCGATCTCAGAACCACCCTAGAGTTTCCCAATCAAGTATGGTCATGGTACGTTAGTGAGTTTCCAGTTGATTACTCAGAACTAGAAGACAGATGTGATGCAGATAAACTGGGAAAGGAACTTATCAACTTGGACGATACCTTTGGATACCTCATCATGCCTGAGAACCAGACAACCGACTTTATTAGCAAAGATTTACAAATAACTGGTTCTCTGGGTTTATATGGAAAATCTCTCTTGCTCAAAAATCTTGATACTAAACGATCCATATGTGCCTCAATCAATTTAGTGGATAAATCCAAAGAAAAAACTGCAGTAGCTCGCTTCCACACTCCTTTTGCTGGCAGTGTATATTTCCGTTGGTTCACTGACGAAAATAACCATAGTGATATGCTTATAACCACTGATTTGTACCATGTTCATGATAAAGAAAACCACAACAAAGCTACGCCATACACACAACATTTCTGGAAGATATATGTTACTGATATCCTGGAGACCGATAAAGACCGACAAGAAGACAATTGCAATATACTCCAACTAGTTTTTGATCCTGATGATCAAGGCGTTGGTAAAGCTCTTGGAGATATTGACTCGAGGCTTGGCAAGATTAAGGTAATTTAGTGACTGATATATTTATTTGTAAGATCATCCCAGAGTGTATCCATTTGTTCACCCTGCTAGGCTACGATAGGCATAGATACTGATGTAGGTTTTTGAATGAAACCTTGCATGCCTTCATATCCCAGAGTATAGTGGGTTGATTGAAAATCGATGACAGTAAATCATTACTCCTAATTCGGATTATAAGATTTAACGTGATTCTGGCTGTTGCCATAGTTCTTTTTCATAATAAAGTCTGATTACAGTGAAAATCAAATTCCTCACAACATAAACATATAATTCATGACAGATGCATTATGAAAATGCGACACTTATTTTCATGTCAAAATTATTCTACCTCCGTTCAGTCACACCACAGCTATATATTTGTTGCATTCGATTTATATTCTTTGATAGTCTGTTATATCATGGAGAGAACCTTTCAAAATCCATTTTCATTGAACGAACGATTTCCTGAAAATGGTCAGTTCAGTTCACTCAAGCAGTTCAAACATTCATTCAAAATAGCAAACTTGTGGAGAGGAAAATACTATAGTTTCCAGTTATTTTGATGTGAATAAAATTCTCGTATCATAGTCATGACAGTACATAATTGGGTTCGTCGTTTGGAATAAAAAGTTTGGATGGCTGGGCTCATGTCGTTGATGAATATTTAAAATATACACTGCCCACTGCAAGAAAGAACTGTCACTATAAAACTTATAATCAAATTTCGAGTTGAAGTTCATAGAGATCAATGTAAAACATTTTCCGATCTGCATTAATATCCATATTGGTGCATCTAGTTATTTTTCATCGAATCCTTCCAGAATCCAAACCATGCACCGTTGACATATATATTGCACCAGAACAATATAAATTTGAATGGGTATGCTCTCGCACCTCACCCATAATGGTTCAATTAGAATAGAGGTAGTAGCATTGGTATGATTGGATATGCTGTGATCTTCACAACAGGGCATTTAATTTGCAAATGTCATCAAATTGAACTCTTCAGGCACCTATTCATCAGGTGCAGACATTTCCATGAGTTTTTGATAATCTCTCAGTAAACATATTCTGCTCAATTTCTTGAGGTGGACTTACTGTATGTTTACAGTTGAGAAGGATGGGTGAATTAACGATCTGTATTCGGTTTTAAACCTTGATAAATAAACAAAATGCAATACGTTAGTTGATTTTGAATACCATTTCCCAATATTTCGTCTTGCGGTGTCGGAAAACACCTTCGTAAGAATCTATAATTTTGTTCTACAGGAACCATAATACAAATTTTTTTTCCGAAAATTCAAAGTTCTTCTCGGAGCCTCCATGATGGTGAACGAATTTGTTATTTGTTATCAGAGTCTGAGTTGAAATCAACATTGGGAGGGTTTAGAGCTTATATAGGTAACAGGAAGTTTTAGTCAAAATTTGGAGATAATGAAAAACTGCCGCCACGTTTATTTTGAATTAATGTTTATTCTTTACTTTTGTTATTTACGTCACATAAACTGATAAATCTTTGATTCTGAGTGTGAGTTTCTGACAGTTATTTTGTTATGTGTATATTATTATCTACATAATGAAACTTGATCCATTTCATTGTCACAAGCGATGATGAATATTTTGATGATGATGAATGTTTTATCCGAATAATTTTCTCGAATTGTCGATTGGGCAACGAATCCACATGGCTCATTGAAATTTGATGTCACAAAACAAAAAGTGAAATAAATCTTCCTTCTTAAGTAGTTACTCTGAATACTGTCTAATAAGTTTTGATTCATAAAGACACCTTCAGAACTACTGAAAATGATTATATTCGTAAAAGTGTCTTAGTCAGAAAAGGCAGTGAGAAAAAATTCATAGAAGAAAATATATTATTCCAGATAACTCGGGAAAAGTTGATGAATTTATATTTCCATAACCTCGAAGTGGAATTCATGAATGACCAGCAAAGAAACTATGCCCAATCTTAATAGTTATTTATGTATCAAGGGGGTAAAGTAGACTTTTATGAATTGCAGTGCTGTCGCTCGGGCTATCAGGACGCCAAGGTCCATAATAGCAAGTTAAGCCTGAAAATGCATGCAACATTTTATGTACGACCGTTTTAGATATTCCGGCCGCCAGACTACTTTACCGCCTGTTGTAGTCCTTTTGCGTTCTAGGACGCTGAAGTGCTACTTTGGGCCCGCCAATCCGGGCGATAAATTGCCACTTTACATCTACTCGTGCATAAATTCAGTTTTCATATTTGTCCGTTGTTTTGTAATTGCAATATTTGGGGAATTTCGACATTTATATAGACCAACTCTGGTACCAGCAAGTGGTGATATTGAAATTGTAAGCCATCATTGCGTGTAAAATCTTTGAAAACTCTCACTGGTACATTCAAGTTTGTTTGTGAGGTTGAAAAAAAAATGTTCACAGTCAAGATAAAAAAATTCAAGATGACGCCTCTTACATGGTGGACAAGTTTGTCATTTGTCACTGATTCATTTCGAAGGATTTTTGAGGTTAATGAATGAAAATTTCTAGTCAGAACCATAGAAATTGTTATTCTTCAAGATGTATGATCTTATTATATGATATCATATCAGTGAACAAACCCTCATAAATCAGATGAAGCAGCTGCAGACGCATTTTAGTGTTGATGCACATTATTAGTAGATACGGCGTAGATTTTTGTAACATGGAATTGGACCACAAATGACATGCACAGCCAGATAGCAAATTACAATTCACTCTATAATTTGGGAGACCCACCATTCGAAAGCAAGAACCAAAATCATCACAAATGTCATGAAAAGATTCGTGAGTAAGCTGAATGAAAAGCGAGTTCGATCGGATCGTTATTTCTTTTTTCTACTACCTGATGGGCTATCACGCACTCTTATATGGTTGACGTTTATTTCAGGTTTCCACCGACTACAACAAGTATAAGTTCAAGACTCTGTTCAGAGATGAAGAGTTGATACTGCTTCCTAGTGATCTAACTGGACCTCAAAGACGATTGTACCTAGTTCTCTTTGAGAATAAACATAAGGATGTCTTCCTAGGCTGTGCGAAGATCCGTTACGATCATCCCACAAATGCACGGTAAGTCGTGAATTATTATGTATCCAACCTTGTTTCTATCGATCGTGATTCTAAGCAATCTGGTCACTTCATCGATGAAATATATGCCACAACATCTAAGGAATTGTCGTGATCAAATATTTTCGCGCATTTCCAAAAAAAAAGTAACAGGGCTATATAGTTCTGCTGAAAGTGCAAATATCAATTTTCAATGACTATCTATGACAGAAATTATTTTCGATATATCGGTATATAATGTGTTTCAAATGAATAAAACTCGTTTTCGTTCATTTTTGTGGAAATTTACGATTCTGTGAAAAAAATTATATTTCGTGAGATGAGTGCTTGGTATGGAAGCAAAAACTCACGTAGGTCGAACAAGGATTTGTATTTGATGATGGCCAGCGACCGAAACTATAGTAACATTTTCTTTTTTGAATATTTCTTGTTCTCGACCGACTTTGAGTGTTCATTTGTTTTTATTTTCGAATCATTTTGGACCACTTTGACATCCTCCAACATGTTGGATAATTATTATAATAGAGTATTCTATTCGTATGAGTTTCTCATCAATCACTCGGAATGAGTCAATGTTTAGTGAAACTATAATTGTCCTGCTTTGTTGCCGAGGCAACCATATGACGTTTCAGTGACGTCTTTTTACGTCAGTTGAATGACCATGGTGACGTCAGGAGTTGACGTCGTATTAGGAGATAAATGACATAAATAAGTCACAGCACAATGACGTCATATTACTCACGTTTATCGACCTCAGTCACTTTACGATGTCGTCAAAATGACGTGAAAATGACGTTCACATTTGGTGATCAAACATTGAAAGGACCATTGACAACTGATGATGACATCTAATATTAACCATGCATTGTTGAGACTGCTTGTTGGTCCTTCCGGTGTCATGTCCATCCAATCGTCTCTTCAGCAGCTCTATATCCTCTAGTACGCTAGTACGCATCTCCATCATGATGAGATTATTTACTAATAATTTGTATAAGAAATTATGAAGTTTGTGTCTTCAAGATGTAAGCAATCCAAGAATAGCTTGATAGCATTGTGAAGGATATTGGCGAATCCAGCTTTACTGTGTTGAGTAAAGTATATTCGTGCATCCTTTTTCACCCAACAAGAATGTAAATAGCAAACTTTCGGCAAATGACTTACCGAATTGGTACGTCACACCGGTGTGATTTTTAGACGTCATATAAACACGTCACTGCAATTTCATAAGAGTGGCGTTTCCAATAGGTACACCTATTATCATTAGAGTATATACAAATGATATCTTCGATCGCTTCCTTCGAACTCCACTTGTATTAGACTAGACAAATTTTTGGGATATTGAACTTTAAGAAGCATTTCGTATTACTTTGGTAAAGGGTGTTTTTCTACTATTTCGACCCTGCTGAATCCGAAAATGCCGGTTGCCAAAGTGAAATCGCAACCGGAAGTGAGATTTTCAAGATGGCGTCCGAAATGGCATCAAAACAGAATTTTGCTGCTAAATCTCCCTTGTTTGAGGTAGGAACGCGACCAAAGGGTCTCTTCATATGTTTTCAGACATGAAGAAAACAAAAACACACAAACTAAACTCGTTAGTTGAATATAATTTCTCAAAAATATGACAAAAGCGGTCAAAGTTGCCCTTTTTGGTTTTTAGCAAACAATATACTTTGACTAATGTATTATATCGTTCTATGCACATTTGAGACATTTAATGTAACACTTAAAACGAAAGGTATTTCTTTAGAAAGGAGTGATATTATTGTGTGTCTCCAGAGTTCAGGCAAGAACGTTTACAGGGAGTGCACAGTTTGATGCAAGAGACATTGGCTTTTCTACAACTGCAATTTTTTGTATTACAATGTCCTTTGCAATGACAGACAACTATTTCTGGGCACGTCTTAGGAATGGGATCCAGTGTTATTAAACGAGGAACAACTTGTTCTCTCTGCACAATCCAGCCACAGTCCTGCAGTCTAGGTAGTGACGGTTTGGGGATATGCGCATTCTCCCAAACACACACCTGAGATAAAGCTCCAAATAAATAACATCGGGCATCGTTTGAGCATGTGATGCTGGAATCAACCTGTATGAAATCAAAATTTCTGTGTGTACTTCATTTTAATTCAATATCATCTGGAAGATATTTAAGTGTAAGCATTTTTACCTTATACAGTTTGACGACAAATTTCTCGACATTACTAAGGACGTCCTCCTCAAGTGGCGACTGTCCGAGGCGTCCCAGAAGCTCGCAGTTTGTCCCAGAAAAAGCCTTCCATGCTCCAACTTTCGCGATAGACGCCAACTTAGACGTCGAATCGCAGCCGGTTATTGCATGGAAAGCAAGAAGATGGGAGACTTGTTCCGGCATAAGCTTTCTGCATATATCATGTACAGGAATGTACTTGGTGTCACGTGCAGTGCCACTCATTACCCACAAATGGGAGCATTTCATTTTAGCGAAGTGGTAGATAGGAAGAAGAACAACGTCGGTGTCCCTCGTCATCACAACAACGTTATGAGCTGTGGTGTGAATGGCATGAAGAACCATGCGCGTGTCAGCTTCCTCGTGTGATGATTTCAGGCAATCAACATTCCGACGCAAATTCGTGGACTGAGCATGTTCTTCCTCAGTGAAGCCGCCGGAGATAACTACTTCAAGATCGCCAAAGTTATGTTGCATAATTCTCTCGGACAAAAATCTGCATAAATCAGTTTTGTTTTCTGATAAAAACAAGAAGTTACTCCAGTTCTTTGGCAGCGGCACGTTGCAGTCCTCAATGTCTCTGCGCACGAAAGTTGGAGCATGGAAGGCTTTTTCTGGGACAAACTGCGAGCTTCTGGGACGCCTCGGACAGTCGCCACTTGAGGAGGACGTCCTTAGCAATGTCGAGAAATTTGTCGTCAAACTGTATAAGGTAAAAATGCTTACACTTAAATATCTTCCAGATGATATTGAATTAAAATGAAGTACACACAGAAATTCTGATTTCATACAGGTTGATTCCAGCATCACATGCTCAAACGATGCCCGATGTTATTTATTTGGAGCTGTAAGAAATCCAGAATTTCTCCCGCCGACAACTGATGCACTTCGTTTCCATATTAAGCGATGCAACTACCAGGTAAGCGTACCTAAAACGCAAATTGACAGAAATGAAAACGAAATGAATATAATATATATATTTTTTTATCTCAGGTGTGTGTTTGGGAGAATGCGCATATCCCCAAACCGTCACTACCTAGACTGCAGGACTGTGGCTGGATTGTGCAGAGAGAACAAGTTGTTCCTCGTTTAATAACACTGGATCCCATTCCTAAGACGTGCCCAGAAATAGTTGTCTGTCATTGCAAAGGACATTTTAATACAAAAAATTGCAGTTGTAGAAAAGCCAATGTCTCTTGCATCAAACTGTGCACTCCCTGTAAACGTTCTTGCCTGAACTCTGGAGACACACAATAATATCACTTCTTTCTAAAGAAATACCTTTTGTTTTAAGTGGTACATTAAATGTCTCAAATGTGCATAGAACGATATAATACATTAGTCAAAGTATATTGTTTGCTAAAAACCAAAAAGGGCAACTTTGACCGCTTTTGTCATATTTTTGAGAAATTATATTCAACGAACGAGTTTAGTTTGTGTGTTTTTGTTTTCTTCATGTCTGAAAACATATAAAGAGACCCTTTGGTCGCGTTCCTACCTCAAACAAGGGAGATTTAGCAGCAAAATTCTGTTTTGATGCCATTTCGGACGCCATCTTGAATATCTCACTTCCGGTTGCGATTTCGCTTTGGCAACCGGCATTTTCGTAATCAGCAGGGTCGAAATAGTAGAAAAACACCCTTTGCCAAAAAGTAATACGAAATGCTTCTAAAATTTTAATGGAGGCCTTTTTTGAATTTTTCGACTAGACTATATATACAGGGTGTTCCAAACTCGATGGCTCCTGTTACACGTTTCCATAGAACGAAACATAGGTAGAATTATTTTGAATTTTTCATGCCTTGGTGAGTGATTAAATCTGCTCAATTAATCAGAAAATATCCTCAGCACTGGGGCGTTTCATCTATCAAAAAGTAGCATGAACTTTGTTATTTCGAGAATAACATCCTATATATTGCGTTTTCAGATTCTTCTTGTAGAACTAATTTCATCAGTTCATCATACTCGGCATCTATTGGGGATGATTACAGGGAAATAGGGTGTGAAATCTCGAGATTTTTCAACTTCAGGCATTTTTTGTGTTGAAACTATTCATTATTGGTTTTTACGGCTCTAATGTCCCTATCTTGAGTTTTCATTCACCATCAATTGATATTTTATTGGAACAGATACAAGGTGATCAAAATTTTGAAGTATAAACCACCCTGTATTCGTTTCAATTAAATGTCAGTAGGTAAATCAACAGTTCAGATAGGGACATGAAATCCGCTTTTAACAATAATTAATACTTAGTTTCGGCACATGAAATCACTGAATTTGTAATATCTCGATTTGCCACACCGTATATATTTCTGTAATCATTACCGCTAGACCCCAATGTGTGACTGATCGATGAAATCTGCTCTTTAGGGATATTCCAAAAATACAATAAAATTCCATTTAAGATAACAAAGTTATCACTACTTTTTGATAGAAGAGCGGCAATGCCGAACCACTGAAAATAATTTATATCGAAAGAATAACTGATTACTCAAGAAATCAAAGTTTCAAAATGATGTCCCGTTCTACAGAAACGTATAATATGCCATCGAGTTTGGGTCAACCTGTGTATATTTTATACACACACATACTGAACTATAGAGCAACATGACGTTGACGCGACATCCCTGCAACGTCATGAAACTGAAGTCATATTTTACCCATACAAGTAACGTTAACTGAAAGTCGTAATAATGCCGTGATTATCACGTCATAGAAAGTACGTCATACTGACGTCAGAAATTGTTGTGTGACGGATCTGACGAAAAATCACTAGGTACGTCACAGTGACGTAACCATTCGTCATCTGGTTGCCTGGGTGGTAGTATAAAAATAATAATCATGAGTTCTGATCCCTATTCTAATAGATAATTCAATTTTCGTTCACTTCTTGTTCTTTCAGATGAGTATGTAAAAAAAAATTAGAGCTTTTCTTCTTAGAGTTCGAGTTTTATCATGACATCGCTGTTGACAATTTGAATATCATTTTCAGCGTGATAATCCAGTCTGGTGGAATAAAGGGAGACATCAAAATGATACAACACACAAAATTCGAACCAACTTTCCTCACATTCAACCTCACAACTGCCAGAGGTGACTTGGAAACCAGAATTGTTTATAGTTCTACCGTATCGAACTATAAAATCCATGAGCTGCCTATTAAGCCTGCGAAGTCAATAGGCCAGAATGAAAATGCGTGTCTGACTACAAAGTTCGTTTATAACCCACAAAACATCGACTTGAATAGTGTTCCGCCCAATGGTGAGTATGTACTGCATAGTCATTCACGTATGATTCTCGACCATAGTAAGAATACTTATAGATCAGTAGATAACTACCTGAGTACCTATAACTCGGAAACTATCTTGAGTACTTATTTTGAAGTACGTATAGTATTACTATATTGAGTTTTCGCACTAGCCAAGGATCATCTAACGTTGCGATGACATGAAAACTACGGAAAAACATGCCTAACTCCTGGCTTAGATTGAAAGTTAGACATTTTTTCCCGTAGTTTTCATATCATCGTATTGTTGGCTATCGCGAATATCGATGTTTTATCTTCTCGAAAGCACTTCGTAACTATATAAACCTAATTTGTTAGAACAAACACTAAATATTTCGGGATAATTCATTAAACGAAATTTCCGCCAGTATCCGAACTATGTTCAAATATTATTTTGATTTTGTAAAATATGAGAGTATTCAAATAGAGATAGTGACTGGTATCATTAAATCACACGAATAATAGTTATTCATTATACAAGGGAAAAAAGTAGCAGATTTTCCAGGTTGTGTTGTCAGCGGAGGGAGACAAAAAACCGTGAGATAAAATCTCTTATTTTTCCCGTATATTTTTTCTGTGACAGATAACAGGACGAATCAATATTGAGAAGATATTACATTATTTTGAAATCTGAAAATTATCGACGTGAAATTTCAAGTTTTTAACAGTAGGGACACCTGCGTTGTAGGCATCTTTATCATTCTTTTGAAGTAATCAAACATCTGATGTCACTTCTGTCAGTCTAATTCTGTGATTTGATTTCAAAAAATTGCGAATTTAGTGGTTGTTTAGTAACCGCGAAGTCGAATGGAAGATAAAAGGATTTGCAGTTCTTTCTCGGAGACGGTAACATTCACTCATTTTTCGGAACTATAGCACAACAAAAGCCATCAACAGTGTATATACAGGGTGTTTTTTATATATAGCGACAAAATTCAGGAACGTGTTCTTTGGACAAAAATTCGCAAAAAAGTTCCTATAAACATAGGTCCTAAACCTTTTAGATTTTGAGCTACAGGGTGGTAAAGTTTTGACAAAAAAATGTTTTTTTTTCGATAACTTAAATACCCCTGTAGATATTTGTCCAAAGATTGGTATGCAGGGTCTGTGTATCCAGAGCCATTTACCAACATACTTTTAACATTTTTATGTTCACCAGTGGCGTGTGTGCGGGTTTTCCGCTGAATACTTTTATAAAGAAAAATGGTACGCCACTGGTTTTTCTTGTATTAAAAAATATTTTTAAATTATTCGTTTTATTTGCAACATTTTCAATCCCTTGGACTTTGTCCGTTAGATGCACGGTTTTCGCACAAAAAATTAGAAACCATGGACATGTTGCTCAGATTTGATTAGACTTTCTTTATTCTAGTAATTATTCTTTTTTTTTTAGTTTATTGCAATTTTAATAATAAATAATGAAATTTTTATCAATTAATTTAGTACAAAAGCCAGCGCAATTTAATAAAATTGTAATTGAGGATTTAAAACTTTTGCTTCTACAATCTTTAATTTAAAATACAAGTCTTTAAGTGATAAAAAATATTTCATTTTTCATTATTTATTTAAGTAATATTATTATTTTTACAAAAGTTGTTCAAAGTGTGCTCCTCCAACATCAATACAAGCATCTAATCGACGTCGCATTGATTGGCGGACACGTTCAAAAATTCCTGGTGTCTGCCGAATTATGTCACAAGACGTTATAATACGATTACGCAATTCCTCCACATTATCAATTGGATTTTTATAAACCAGTGATTTAAGGTGTCCCCACAAAAAAAATCCAGCGGATTTAGGTCGGGAGACCGTGGGGGCCAAGGGTTAATACCTCCCCGACCTATCCAACGATTTGTATACGTAATATCCAAATGGGCTGGAGCACCGTCATGTAAAAAAAACATCTGCTGTCTCAGCTGAATGGGGACATCTTCTAGCATCACTGGTAATTCATTTTCAAGAAATTCTTGATACACTTGTCCAGTCAACCTTGCTGGTGAAAAAAATGGACCGATGAGAAAGTTTTCAATAATGCCGACCCATACATTAAGTGAAAACTGGTGCTAATGACGGTTTTCTGCCACAGCATGTGAGTTCTCATAATGCCATATGTGGTTATTGTGGAAGTTCATAATTGCGTCCCTGGAGAAATTAGCCTCATCGGTGAAAAGTATTTTTCTTATAAACGGTGCATCTTGCCTTATGCGTTCTTGCATCCAACGACACAAAGCCGTTCTTTTCGGAAAATCGCCTGGCAAAAGTGCCTGCACCCGCTGAATATGATACGGGTATAAAAGGTTTCTTTTAAGAATATTCCAAACTGTAAAGTCACTAATGTGTACCGTCTGAGCAATTTTCCTAGTGCTTGTGGTGGGATCTTCCTCGAATTCATTGAGCACCTGTTCTTCAATTTGAGGAGTAACTGTTCGGGGATGTCCGTTTTCAGCGGTGAGTTTTTTAAAGCTGCCGGTTTCACTTAGACGTTGGTGTAAACGCGTAAACATGGAGTGATGAGGAATAACACGATTCGGGTAACGTTCAGTATAAATACGCAAGGCTTCTCGTGCGTTTCCGTTAGCCAGTCTATAAATAAAGTGCATATCGCACATTTCATTATTTGTGTAATTGTTAGCCATTTTTTAACAAATTAATCTTGTCAACTTGTACTTAAATTATTCACTTTGACATTAATTTTGACGTCTTAAATAAGAATGTGATTATCGTTGCGGCGGCGTTGTCCGTAGTTACGTTAAAAAAAATTATGTTCACAGGCTACTTCGCGATTTTGGAAGCGTGAAATATTAACACGTTACTCATATGTCACTTTTTTAACATGTTAAATAAAGTGACATATTATGAACTGCAATGAAATTTTAAATAGAATTAAAAAAAAAACTTACTTTTTACGATCATAAAAAAAATAAATAGCGATCAGTCAAAGTAGATGTTTTTTATTTTTTTGTGAGAAAACCGTGCATCTGACGGACAAAGTCCATAGGATCAAAAATGTTGCAAATAAAACGAGGGATTTAAAAATATTTTTTAATACGAGAAAAACCAGTGGCGTACCATTTTTCTTTATGAAAGTATTCAGCGGAAAACCCGCACACACGCCACTGGAGAACATAAAAATGTTAAAAGTATGTTGGTAAATGGCTCTGGATACACAGACCCTGCATACCAATCTTTGGACAAATATCTACAGGGGTATTAAAGTTATCGAAAAAAAATCATTTTTTTGTTAAAACTTTACCACCCTGTAGCTCAAAATCTAAAAGGTTTAGTACCTATGTTTATAGGAACTTTTTTGCGAATTTTTGTCCAAAGAACACGTTCCTGAATTTTGTCGCAATATATAAAAAACACCCTGTATATGTGATATATATCCGGGAAAAAAGTACTCACTTTTTTCCCATAGGGTAAAAGTAATTTATAAAAAGTGACATTTCATAACCTGCCAACAGAGATGTAATGCCAAACTTTTTTTCCCGTCATACGTACGTAACTCTCTCGTTTCATAAGCGGTTGATGATTTCGTCTGGCTGCTTTGGTAAGACGAAGCCCATCCGATAAGAACGCTTCAAATGTCAGTGAGGAGCATAAGATGAATGCTGAATAATGTGCCTCTATACAAGAAATCTCGACGCCGTTTGATATCGCACAAAACGTGAAAACCATTTTTCGAGTCCGTCGACTTGTTCTTCATCAATTTGTGAGTAAATAGACTAGGAGAGCATCGCCTCATTTCGACCACTTTTCCCATGTAAATCTCCATAAGAAAAGTTATGGTCAAAAATACCGAAAATGGTCGTCAGCCTCGAAGTCGGCGAGCGGTCTATCCAAAAGTCGAGCATCAATCAACCGCAAAGTGAGGTACAATAACAAGATGAAGGCGAATAAAAAATCCTGAGTCAAATGAAAACAGGGTGAGTCCAAAAACCTTTATCATACAGACTGGAGGAAAAATTCTGAAACCAACCCATTAGTTCAAATCGAATCTTACCATTTCGAGTCCATCTAGACCATGTGATCAGCCCAAAAAAAATCGCAGAATGTGAAATCAGGAAGCATGGAACGTTAGAACTACCTGCAACTAGCAGTCAAAACGCCCATCAATAACAAATTGCTATTTACTTAATTATCATCAGGACTATTTATTATAGCTAACACAGAATGTAGAAATTAAACTCAATACGATTTTTAAAAATATATTGGTATAAAATAAAAGGTAAAGCAGATATATACATATAATACAAACTAGAATCAGCAGTTGACGTTTCAAGTCTCGATTATACTGTAATGATATTCCCCTGGGAGGGGCTTTAGAAACATCAGCAGGAAGGCAGGAGTACTCTCTCTCCAACCTCTTAATGATTCCTACATACACCAGCATATTTCCGAACACTCAATATATGCCGCAGTGACAAATAACGTCACAGAAGATTCTGGAATGTTCTGGAAACAATCGATGGAACAATTAGAGAGAGAGGTTTTGTTCTAAGAAGCTTCTAGAACAAAAAGAAGGAGACGGAAGATCATTCGAGAACGTTCTCGACCAAAGCCTGCCATGTGTTCTCATATATAAGAAGGCCGAACAACTCAGTCGAGCAGTCAAACAGCGAGTGTCAGAGAGACAGTTATATACCGCGTGTTATAAATCGTTTTACGTAAATAGTAGTTATAAGTTCGATATAAATTAGTGTTTCTTCAGTTAAAATAAATCAGTTCGAAAATAAATAGTGTCGTGTTCGCTTCTGCACCCGAATAACGTAACAATTGGTGTCAGAAGTGTGGGATATTCCAGTGTGAAGTGAACAGACCGTTGCAATGAAGAAACTACACGAGTTGAGAGTGGTGGACTTGAAACGCGAGTTGGAGGAGAGAGATCTCGATACAACAGGGATCAAGGCTACACTTCAGCATCGTCTCATAGAGTATATGGTGAGCGTAGGTCAGGACCCAGAGACGTTCACCT